GTTGCACAATTTTGCATATCATCATTTTTAGGAATGTCATTTACAGAATTTCAATGTGGCAAAATGCCAGCAATTGTTTAGACAAGGGTATATAATGGTTCATGCTAATTCTTTAAACTTTTTTAAGTATTTGAGATTTTTCATAATAAAAAGTTAATGGTTAGGAGTAAATAGCACTCAAGAGAATAAAAGCTAAGTGTGCAAAATCTTTGCATTAGGGCACAATACTATTCCATCTATTATTATTTTTTAAGACTTTATTTACTTGAGAGTGTGCACAAACGGGAGGAGCAGCAGAGGGAGAGGGAGAAGCAGGCTCCCTACTCAGTGGGGAGGCTAATCCCAGGGTCCTGGGATCATGACCTAAGCCTAAGGCAGATGCTTAATTGACACTCAGGTACCCCTCCCTTATTAAAAAAAAGCCCATCTTTTAATATTTAACAAGATATATTTCCCTTTGTTTAGAATTTTAGAAAAATAAAGATATTTTTGAGTAATCTTATTTGGTCTCTCATTTCCTAAAATACAACTGGTTTAGGGCAGCCCGGGTAGCTCAGCAGTTTAGCACTGCTTTCAGCCCTGGGCGTGGTCCTGGAAACCTGGGATCGAGTCCCACATCAGGCTCCCTGCATGGAGCCTGCTTCTCCCTCTGCCTGTGTCTCTCATGAATAAATAAAATCTTAAAAACAAAATAAAACCCTACTCAAAGTGCTTAGTGGTTTAATACAGATCAAAACAAATATAACAGAAAAAAAACGTATAAGAAACCTGTCCTTTCAAGAGTTCCTTTTAAGAATTTTGTTATTGGAAAAAAGAAAAAAAAAAGAATTTTGTTATTGGGACGCTTAGGTGGCTCAGCAGTTGAGCATTTGCCTTTGGCTCAGGGCGTGATCCTGGAGTCCCAGGATCAAGTCCTGCATCGGGCTTCCTGTAGAGAGCCGGCTTCTCCCTCTGCCTGTCTCTGCATTTCTGTCTCACGAGTAAGTAAAAAATCTTTAAATTTTTTGTTATATAAACAATTTCTATTATTTAGACATAGCCTATAAACCTTGTGCTGAGTAATGGTTAAATTCAAATATAAATAATTTGGGGCACCTGGGTGGTTCAGTTAGTTAAACACGTGCCTTTGGCTCACATCATGATTCCAGGGTCCTGGGATCGAGCCCCACATCACGCCTCTTCTTAGCTGGAAGCCTGTTTCTCCCTCTCCCTCTGCCTACCCCTGCCCTCCTGCTTGTGTGCTCTAATAAAATTTCAAAAAACAACAAATATAAGTCATTTGGATTACAGTATTTTGACTTAAAAGTTTTTAGAATATACTTCATTATCCATTAAAATGAGAGTAAACTGGGGATCCCTGGGTGGCGCAGCGGTTTGGCGCCTGCCTTTGGCCCAGGGCGCGATCCTGGAGTCCCGGGATCGAATCCCACGTCGGGCTCCGGTGCATGGAGCCTGCTTCTCCCTCTGCCTATGTCTCTGCCTCTCTCTCTCTCTCTCTGTGTGTGTGACTATCATAAATAAATAGAAAAAAAAAATTAAAAAAAAAAAATAAAATGAGAGTAAACTGAATTTAATTCTAGATAATCCAGAAATAGCCATCTAAACACACTAAGACTTACCATTTACCAAATTAGTTATTTTCAGTTAACTACATGTCAGATGCAATGGAACATTCTCCAGAAAAGATCACACACTGGGTCACAAATCAGGTCTTAACCAGTACCAAAAGACTGGGTTCATTCCCTGCATATTTTTGGACCACAATACTCTGAACTGGAACTCAATCACAAGAGAAAATTTGGAAAGAATTCAAATACATGGAGGCTAAAGAGCATCCTACTAAAGAATGGGTCAAGCAGGAAATTAAAGAATTTTACAAATTCATGGAAACAAATGAAAATGAAAACACAACTGTACAAAACTTTGGGATACAGTAAAAGCAATCCTAAGGAGGGAAGTATATAGAGACCTATCTATAGGTCTCAAATATACAACCTAACCTTACACTTAAAGGAGCTGTACAAAGAACAGCAAGTAGAGCCTGAACCCAGCAGAAGAGAAAAGGGGCACCTGGGTAGCTCAGTGGTTGAGTGCCTGCCTTTGGCTCAGGTCGTGATCCCAGGGTCCTGGGATCAAATCCTGAATAGAGCCCCGCAGGGAGCCTGCTTCTCCCTCTGCTTATGTCTCTGCCTCTCTCATGTATAAATAATTTTTTTTAAAAGAAGAGAAGTAATAAAGATTAGAACAGAAATCAATGAAATAGAAACCAAAAGAATACAAAAGATCAACAAAACTAAGAGCTGGTTCTTTGAAAGAATTAAGATGGATAAACCCTTGGCCAGACTTATCAAAAAGAAAAAAGAAAGGACCCAAATAAAATCATGAATGAAAAAGATCACAAGAAACACTGAAAAAATATTAATTATATGAACATATTATGAGCAACTATATGTCAACAAATTAGGCAATCTGGAAGAAATGGATGCATTCCTAGAGACCTATGAGCTACCAAAACTGAAACAAGAAGAAACAGAAAACCTGAACAGACCCATAACCAGCAAGGAAATTGAAGCAGTAATCAAAAATCTCCCAACAAGAGTCCAGAGCCAGGTGGCTTGCAAGGGGAATTCAACCAAACATTTAAAGAATACCTATTTGATTGAAGCGGTTTCAAAAAACAGAAGTGGGAGGAAAACTTCCAAACTTTCTATGAGGCCAGCATTACTCTGAAGTCAAAACCAGAGAAAGACCCTACCAAAAAGGAGAATTTCAGAATAGCCCTGATGAATATGGATGCAAAATTCTCACCAATACTAGCCAATAGGATCCAACAGTAAAGGATTATTCACCATGACCAAGTGGGACTTATTCCTGGGCTGCAAGTGTGGTTCAACATCAACACATCAATGTGACATACTACATTAATAAAAAAAAAAAAAAAGGACAAAAACCATATAATCCTCTCCATAGATACAGAAAAAGCATTTGACAAAGCATCCCATCTTGATTAAAACTCTTCACAGTGTAGGGATAGAGAACATAAATCATAAAACCATATACGAAAAGCCTATAGCAAATATTCTCAATGGGGAAAAACGGAGAGCTTTTTCCCCTAAGGTTAGGAACATGACAGGGATGTTCACTCTCCCCACCATTGTTCAACATAATACCAGAAGTCCTGGCCTCAGCAATCAGACAAAAGAAAAGGCATCCAAATCGGCAAAGAAGTCGAACTCTCACTCTTAGCAGATGACAGGATACTCTATATGGAAAACTCAAATGACTTCACCCTAAAATTGCTAGAACCCATATAGGAATTCAGCAATATGGTGGGATATAAAATTAATGCACAGAAATAAGTTGCATTTCTACACACTAATAATGAGACAAAAAAAGAGATTAAGGAGTTGATCCCATTTACAACTGCACCCAAAACCATGATATCTAGGAATAAACCTAATCAAAGAGGCAAAGACCTGTACTCAGAAAACTATAGAACACTCATGAAAGAAATTGAGGAAGACATAAAGAAATGGAAAAATGTTCCCTGCTTGTGGATTCGAAGAATAATGTTAAAATGTCTATGCTCTAGAGCAATCTATACATTCAGTGCAATCAATCACTATCAAAATAAAATCAACTTATTTCACAGAGTTGGAACAAATAATCCTAAAATTTGTATGGAATCACAAAACCCCAAATAGGCAAAGGAATGTTGAAAAAGAAACCCGAAATTGGTGGTAACACAATTCCAGAGTTCAAGCTGTTACAAAGCTGTAATTATCAAGACAGTACAGTACTGACAGAAACAAGACACAAAGATCAATGGAATAGCATAGAGAACCCAGAAATGGACCCTTAACTGAGTCCAGGAGATGTGGGCCAAGTGATATCAGATTGTGTAAGCTCAATTTATGGTCCTCTTCAAAAGTCTGGCCTTTATCCAAAGCAGTTAATAGCGATGAAAACTTGTGCTTGACAAATTTTTAAAAATCACGAGAGTGTACAGAACTGCCTGGAAGGAAGCCAGAGCAAGGACAGAGACTAGTCTAGAAATTTTACATGATTCATGTCAACAGAGGATGCCTGGATCAGGACAGAGGAAAAGAGGTTCTAAGCTACTGAAATGACACATTAAGAATCCCCGTGTATAATATTTGCTACATAGATGCATATACTTTTATTTGCAAAAGGAATCCCAATTAACACAGTTAAAGTTATATTTTCAAAGAAAAGGACTAGGATGATAGGCTATGGGGAAAACTTCATTTTTCACTTAGTATCTTCCTGTAAACGTTTTTTAGTTTTATTTTTTTTTAATTTTAATTTATTTATGATAGTCACACAGAGAGAGAGAGAGAAGCAGAGACATAGGCAGAGGGAGAAGCAGGCTCCATGCACTGGGAGCCTGATGTGGGATTCGATCCTGGGTCTCCAGGATCCGCCCTGGGCCAAAGGCAGGCGCCAAACCGCTGCGCCACCCAGGGATCCCTGTAAACGTTTTTTAAAATAAGATTTTATTGGGGTGCCTAAGTGTTTGGCTTCAGCTTGGGTCATGATCTCAGGGTCCTGGGATTGAGCCCATCAGGATCTCTGCAAGGTGGGGAGTCTGCTTCTCCCTCTCCCTCTGTGCTCTAATAAATAATAAATCTTAAAAAAAAAAAAAAGATTTGAGATAGTGCCCATGCACACACACGAACTGGGGAGAGGGACAGAGGATCTTGAACAGACTCCCCACAGAGCTGGACACAGGGCTCAATCTCACAAGATAATGACCTGAGCCAAAGTCAAATGCTTAACAAACTGAGCCACCCAGGTGCCCTCTATACTGTTAATTTTTAAAACAGCAGGTATTATCATTTTGTTATTTTTGTACGAATGGGGATTTATCAGAGTGAGGCGCAGACTGGGTCATTTAAAAATTCTCAATACTTCCATAAGAAAAAGAAAAAACAACACCCCACAAAACTTAAAGAACTCAGGATTGAGACCCAAGAAAGTCAACAGGCAAATGTGAATTCATTTTTTTCTCTTCTTACACAGGTTTTTTAAAGAATATCAGAAGTAACAGACTGTTGGGGGACAAGGGCCAATAAATTAATCTGCCTTTTGAAATCAAACATTTAATATTTTAATCAAGTTGTATCAATACAATTTTTCAAGCAAGTGCCAACTGGAAGACCAGGCCTAGGGATTTGTAAAGGAAACAAATCTTCCAAACAGCAAGAACACCAAGGTGATCTTCCACTCCAGATGCACTGTTAGTGGCCACAGCAGCACCAGTTGACCGGTGTTAATCCGATTACCGAGTATTTACCTGACAAGAAAAAAACTTGAGTTCCACAACTTGCAATGATAGAATTTTAATGATGAAAGAGGTTCTAGGGCAATTACCAAATCATCCCTATTTTTACAAGTGAGAGAAGACTGTAAAAGTATGAACTGTTATCACCTTGATGACAAGCAAAGTAGTATTCACCACCCTGCTCCTCTCCCTAAAACTCTTAAAAAATATATGCCTTTTTGACCCTGTAGGAAAATTCACAACCTATTTATACTTACCACATCATCAATTTTCAGAATGCTCCGGACAGTTTCAGTTGCTAGAGTCAGTGCACTGACTGAAACCAACAAAGGCTGGACAACCAGTTCCTCCAAAATGTTGGAAATACCACCCTGCCAAATAGCATAAATTGCATTTAGTGTCTGTAATCACACACATCACCAACTACACGGTTACCAGTATGACATGCCTTTCCAACCTAGTTTTCCTTTGCTCTAGTCAAAAGTCAATACTCTCTGCTAAGCCCTTCTGTATATTGTAGGTTGTATTTAACTAAAATGTGGAAAAACTGAATTAATGCTAGATTTCCCTAGTCCTAACCCCAAAACAATTTCTAATTATCTTTAAATTACCCAGGCAGGGATCCCTGGGTGGCGCAGCAGTTTGGCGCCTGCCTTTGGCCCAGGGCGCAATCCTGGAGACCCGGGATCGAGTCCCATATCGGGCTCCCGGTGCATGGAGCCTGCTTCTCCCTCTGCCTGTGTCTCTGCCTCTCTCTCTCTCTGACTATCATAAATAAAAAAAAAAAATTAAAAAAAATCAAAAAAAAAATTAAATTACCCAGGCAAAAATTAGGTAGATGATCTCATACTAATTAAAAATTGTGAGATCTGGGCAGCCTGGGTGGCTCTGCGGTTTTGCACTGCCTTCAGCTTAGGACCTGATCCTGTAGACCCGGGATGGAGCCCCACGTAAGGCTCCCTGCATAGAGCCTGCTTCTCCCTCTGCCTGTGTGTGTGTGTGGAATGAATGAATGAATGAATGAATGAATAAAATCTTAAAAAAAAAAAAGTGAGATCTTTAATGCTCAAGTAATCCCTGAACCCCAATTCTGAATATAGTGAAGTCTGGTCTGTCCTGCCTTTGTACCTCTCTCAAATCCCATTTTTAAATTGTTACTACCATTATCTTACTCCACCTTCTCTCTGGATTATTGCATTATGTTATGGTGGCCATAATGGGCAACAACCATGCTTCAGTCTTCCCTCCTTAAAATACTTTTTCATCATCTTAACCTCTTGGTTAAAAAAACATCAGTAGCTCCCAACTACTGGAATAAAAACAAAATAAAAACAAAACTCCCTCATAACTGCCCCAATACTCAAAGGCCTCCTCATTCTAGTTCTTCTGTGAGATTTCCAACCTTCACGTCCACTATAATCCCAACATATAACCCTCTAGACAAAATGAGCCCTTTCACATAAAACTTTTGGCTTCTCCACCTGAAATTTCCTCATGCCCCCTATTCAAGTTGCATTATCATAAAGCTTTCCCTAAGCAGGCAGTGCCTTTCCTTTGGAGTTCTAGATCACTTAAAAAATATTACCTTGGACTCTCTTATTTTCCATTATGTATTGTCTCTCTCTTCAATAAAAGTAGACATTAATAAAGCACTAATACAAAAGTGAAGGTTATTATGGCTGTGTTTACCTTACACAATTATACTAGGCTGCTGGCCACAACAACAGAACAGTTAATTTATGTAGTGCTTATGCCAGGCAACTTTAGTAAGAGCCTTCTGGTTGGTAAAACATTTAGTCCTAACAACAGGCCTTTGAAGGAACTATGAGTTGTCCCTTTTAACAACCAAGGAAACTGAAGCACAGACTTAAATAACTAAGAGTTACACAATCAATAAATAGCAGTGTTAATGAACAAATAATACTTTTCACTTAAGACACCATCTTCATTCTTATTCATCGGCATAAATTAATCTGCAATTCTCACATTTGGATCCAAGATTACTCCTTAAAAAAAAAAAAAAAAAAAAAAAAGAGGGGCATCTGGGTGGTTCAGCATTTGAGAGTCGGCCTTTGGCTCAGGTAGTGATCCCAGGGTCCAGGGATTGAATCCCACATCAGGCCTTTCTGCAGGGAGCCTGCAGAGGGCTGCCTATGTCTCTGCCTCTCTCTTTTAGAAATCAATAAAATCTTAAAAAAAAAAAAAAAAAAAAAAAAAAAGTAATCTCTACAAGGCGCCTGGGTGGTTCAGTCGGTTAAGCATCTGCCTTGGGCTCAGGTCATGATCCCAGGGTGCTGGGACCAGGTCTTGCAGTGGGCTCCTTGCTCAGCAGTGAGCCTGCTTCTCCCTCTCCCTCTGCTGGCTGCTGCTCCCCCAACTTGTACTCTTGTTAAATAATTTAAAAAAATAAAGTCATTTCTGCACCTAATATGGGGCTTGAACTCTCAACCTAGAGATCAAGAGTCATATGCTTTTCTGACAGAGCCAGCCAGGCACCTCTAAACCCAAGATTACTAAAAAAATAAAATAAAATAAAATATTTTCTTTGAAAAACTTCAGGGGCAGAGGGAGAGAGAGAATCTCAAGCTAACTCCCCATTGAGAAGGGAGCCCAACAAAGGTCTCGATCCCATCACCCTGAGATCATGACCTGAGCCAAAATCAAGAGTTGGATGCTTAATCAACTGAGCCACCCAGGCACCCCCTAAGATTACTTTTAATTAAAATGCTTTTCACTCAGGAAACCCTTTGGGTCTCCTCCCTTTTTGGGAGCTCTGTACTCTATCATTCAATAAACTTTACTATCAACTCAGTAAACCTTGCTTTGCTGTCCACCAAAAAAGAGCCAAAAACCAAAAAACCCACACCACCTTTTCATTCAGCAGACATTTATGAAGCTTTTAATGTTTTAATCAACATTTTCTGCAATAATGAAGAATTCAATTATTACCTTTCGGACATTTATCCCGGTAGTTTTTTCTCCTTGGGCATGTCGGTTTCTTAGTTCTGTTACTGTAGAAATGGGATTCAGGCCAGCATTTTCAGCTAGTGTGGATGGAATGACTTCCATAGCATCTGCAAAAGCACGAACGCAGTAGGATTCCATGCCACTCAATGTTCGTGAATATTCAGTTAACCGCAGGGCCAATTCTATCTCTGGAGCACCACCTCCTGCAATAAGAGCTCTGAAATTCACAAATACATTTTTAGTTTATTTTATCTAACAGGAAGCTATGTCTAATAACTTACTACTTCTACCTTAAATAGTCAAAATATAAAAACGTCAATGTTCAAAATGGTAATCGGTAACTTTTATTACCTCTTCTTCACTAAACAGCGAATAACACACAGGGCATCATGAATAGAGCGCTCAGCTTCTTCAATCACCAATTTGTTAGATCCACGAACAACAATTGTAACTGTTTTTCCGGGGCTTGTACAGCCTGTAATCTTTAGTAAACAAATTCCAAATTAGGTATTTAAAATAAGGGTTAAAACAAACAAAACCCCCAAGTAAATAAAAGCTTTATTACAAACTTTACCTTAAGCAGTTTGCCAGAACCATTTAAATTGACCTCCTCAGCTAACTCAGCTGATCCCAGCATATCAGCAGTGAATTGGTCAATATGAGCAACTGGCTTGGTTCCAATTGTCTGGGAAAAATATCAAACCCACAGATTAATACAAGAATTGATTATTGGATATTCTCAAACAGGTGCTAGGAATATTTTACCTTACAAATGAATTCAATGTCTTCTCTTTCAATATCCTTAACTACCATAATCTTCATCTTGTTCAGGAAATGTAATGCAAGATCACTAAGAGCATCTCTAAAATACAAAAATCGGTGATTAATGTCATTGCTAAATTAAAAAAAAACTGCTATTCAACTGCTTTTTAAGCCTTCTGTCACGTTATTGTTTAAATGATGAATAACTCAAAGTATCTGTGAAGGAATATGCTTTATATGTTGGTTTACCAAGTTTATATGCTCTAAACTTTGAACGTTTCCAATGGATAATATTGTAAAAGACACAAAAATTGTCAGTTTTTTTTTTTTTTAAGGATTTTATTTATTTATTCATGAGAAACACAGAGAGAGAGGCAGAGACACAGGCAGAGGGAGAAGCAGGCTCCATGTAGGGAGCCCGATGTGGGACTCGATCCCAGGTCTCCAGGATCATGCCCTGGGCTGCAGGCGGTGCTAAATCGCTGAGCCCCCAGGCTGCCCAAATTGTCATAGTTTTTAATACTAAACTAGTATGTCTTTAATAGTTAAAACTTTATCCATATTTCATGAATTTAGAAGTATGATTAATTCAAAACACATACATACATAATTTACATAAATTTGTAAACTTATGCTTTCTCACAAATTATCTGGAACAAACCTCCGGAAAACCTTGTGACATTGGAGGGGGTGAATATTACGATCTCTGTTTTATATATAAGCTACCTAAAATTTGAGAACAGCTACTTAAGGTTACTACCTATGCTATGACTTGGTAGAACCAGGTTATCTAACCCTTCATCAAGGCGTCCTGTTTGTCAAGGTTTCTTTTTTTTGGTCAAGGTTTCTATATAAAATGATCACCCATAGTACTTTCTGGCATAACACTATTAATAAAGCACAAGGGAATGTGTCTACTTACTTGAAGAAAACATTAAAGAAAAAAAAAGATCAATTCTCAATTCAAACTTCGGAAAATTCAATCTATGAATGATTCTACATTCCCTTCAAACAACTTCTAAATTTCAAGGCAAGCAATTTCATAGGTGTTTAAATAAAAGCCTCTCTCAGGTAGTTAAATTCTAGACCAAACTAACCTTTTAAAAAACAAAGCATTCCATTTGCTTGATATTTAGGATCTTGGTCTAGAAAGAATATACTGTTGACCCTGGAACAACATGTAGGGGGATCACCTCCCTCTCTCCAGTCAAAAATATGCATACATTTTGACTTCCCCAAAACTAATAACCTGTTGACCAAAGTCTTACTGATAACACAGTTAACCAATATTTTGTATGTTGCGTGTATTATATGCTCTATTCTTATAATAAAAGTAAAGAAAGGAAACCATTAAGAAAACCATGAGGAGAGGCGCCTGCCTGGCTGGCTTAGTTGGAAGAATAAATCGACTCTTGATCTCAGGGTCATGAGTTCCAGCCCAATGTTGGATATAAAGATTACTTAAATAAATAAAACTTAAAAAAATGAGGAAAATACATTTATAGTACTGTTGAAAATATCCACATAAAGTGGACCCACACAGTTCAAACCTGAGTTGCTCAAAGGTCAACTGTATATCCCACACATTTAAATTATCACAATGGGAAGAGAACTCACTTTAAGAGGATTCATCAGAATACAGTAATGCCTCAAAATGTAGATTCATTCTAGATTTCTAGTGATTTACCCACTCCAAATGTTTCCTAAGAAACTGCTAGAGGATCCAAAATAAATGGTCGTTAAAAGGTGAACAAAATAAATAGCCCCTTACCTCAGGATAGACTTCTGTATGAGGAGGACATTACATCCTGTTTTTTTAATTTGCTTCACTAAATTGAGGATATAGGCTCTCTCCTCCCGAAGCACTCGATCCATCTGGACGTAGTCAGAAACTACAATTTGATTATCCATCTGTTGAAAAAAAAAGATATTAATAAATTGCATTGTAAGAGTTTTTAAGTGAAAAGGACAGACATTTAAAGAAAATATTATGTATCATGAAAATCCAACCAAAATACCTAATAACAAACTATACAGACATACACAGAAAAGATCTGAGAGGATGAACACACACCAACCTTAACTCGGGCCTTTAACGTTCATCTATACACCCTGTTGTCTTGTTTATATTTTTTGCAAGTACATTTTTGGTAATTGTAAAATGATTATCCTATTTCCTGACTATGTCAATTTTCTTTATACAATTATATGCATCACTGAAGTAATTTCAGCTGCACCCTTTTAACTCTATGGCTTGTTATTAAAACTGGTATGCTGAAAGGAGGTACCAGGGAAAAATTAATCAAAGGTGTATAAAACAACATTAATTTTTCTAATGGTTGAACTTTTGGGAAACACGAATCAACAGGAAACCTGTTTCCCAAAATGACGTAAGAAAAGAGCAATTCTTAGTGAAGTGACAAGATAAGCCACTCCCTTTTGGAAATAGCATTTATGATGAAAAGATATGAAAATACCTTTAAAAACATTTCTTTAAAGTATAAATAGTAAGCTGTTTTCAAGTTTCATTTGTGCAAATGTAGGATTAGAGATCTGCCTGCTGCTATAGGATGGGTGGAGATTTTTCAGAAACCTACAAAGAATCTGGAAATCCACTTACACTCTAACTTACAGAGTTTTTTATTTTTTCATACACCGTACCCCTATTGTTATTTGCCTTCACCTATGATGTCAATGCTCAATTTCAACAATAGCCAATTGAAGGTATAGATCTGTCCTGTCTGGTATCCAACAATTTCTATTTTTGCCTCAATCTTACTATTTCCTTTTGAAATCTATGGTTTTTATCACTATTAACGGTATTTTATTTTTATAATAATGAACAAAGGTCTGAGCTATTAGAACATCAAACACATTACAAGGAACCAGTTTCATTTGGTTTTACTTACATCCGTTTTGGGAGCAGATAAGCAAAACTGAATAAGCCCAATCTTAGCCTTTTCAACTCTAGTTATGCCAGAATTTGCCACCTTCTGAGTAAGTACCAGCCCTTCTACCAGCTCACAGTCATCAATTGTCCCACTAAGAAAAAAGAAAACAAGCAGTAGACAGTTAAGAGGGTAGAAATCTGAGATTAAGAGATTGCCAACAGATTAAAAATCACCAATCCGATAAAAATGTGAGCCTCCCATGTATTATTTCCCCAATTCCTGAACTTGTTTGATCATACTAGAAGATGGCCTTGCCATCATAATGAAATATAAACAAATTCCTGAGATTTTTACATTAATACCAGTTCTTAAATTAATTTTTATTAAAATTATAATTAGAAATGCTTACCCAAGTTTCTTAACTATTTTAATGTCTCTAAGATCTACACTAGTAGCCGTGGCTGGGTCAATAACTTTCATCACTGCATTTACACTCATTGGAGAAAGCAGACTTGAATACTGAGACACAACCTAGAATTAAAAAAAATAATAAAATCAGCCTCACAACAGAAAAAGTCCTAGTTCTTTAACGACAAACATCTTCAAGAAGTAATCACTTTTTTTGGGTGGCAGGGGGAGAGTGGGACAACACGAGACAACATTCCCTATGAACTGTCTTTTCCACTCTAAGTCATCAGTCACCAAGAGCACAAAATACGGGGGTTTGTTTTCCTATTTTATTAACATAATAGATGGACCTACCTAGATTACTCATAATTCCATAGTAAATACAAAAAATCAAATCATACATAGATGTTTCTTATCTAAAATGAATTTGTGACCAAATGCTATAGATGTCCACCCTTAATACTGAGGGGCTAATAAAAATAACTACTGGCTAATACTTACTAAGCTCTTAACGTGGTCTTAGCTCTTTACGTTTATATACTCCTTCAATCTTTAAGATTTTATTAATTCATGAGAGACACAGAGAGAGAGACAGAGACACAGGCCGAGGGAGAAGCAGGCTCCTCGCAGGGAGCCTGATGTGGGACTCGATCCCAGGACCCCAGGATCACACCCTAAGCCAAAGGCAGACGCTCAACCTAGGCGTCCCCTCCTTCAATCTTGATGAAGAAATTCAAAGAGTCACAAGTTTAGTCAAGTGATGAACCTAGCACTAAACCCAAGCAGTCTAGGCTCTATGACCAATGCTTGTTAACCTCACTATTCTGTCTACATAAGATCTGGGGAAATTAAAAACATGTATGTCACTAACACTATCTAGCTCTCCACCTAACACTGGAAGAACATGAATGTTCAATACAATACTGATGAGAAAAATGGGAGGGGGGACACAGGACATGATAGAAAACAAAAAACATGAAGTATGCAAGAAATTAAAAAAAAAATCAATGCTTTAAATTTGAAAACTAAGAAAACAGCATTGATTATTACTTAAGACGGACCATGGGTGGGCAAACCTGTCCTGGGTTCCAATCTTTGCTTATCCCTTACTGATAGATCTTGGATTATTTATTTATTTATTTATATTTTATTTTATTTATTATTCATAGAGTCAGAGAGAGAGACACAGGCAGAGGGAGAAGCAGGCATCATACAGAGAGCCTGATGTGGGACTTGATCCAGGGTCTCCAGGATCATGCCCTGCGCTGCAGGCGGCGCTAAACCGCTCTGCCACCGGGGCTGCCCTTGGATTATTTAATTTCACTAGATCTATTTTCCCATCTATAAAATGATGATAGTTTATTTGAAAGCCTTGAAAGAGCAAATCTGACCTGAACTAATTCAATTATATAAATAACTCCAGTAACCTAGACACTCCAGACCTAACCTTTATAAACTATATAGTAGGGCAGCCCTGGTGGTTCAGCGGTTTGGCGCTGCCTTCAGCCCAGGGTGGGATCCTGGAGACCCGGGATCGAGTCCCATGTCGGGCTCCCTGCATGAAGCCTGTTTCTCTGCCTCGCCTGCTTCTCCCTCTGCCTGTGTCTCTGCCCACCCCCCCTTGAATGGATGAATAAAATCTTAAAACAAAAAACAAAAAACTGTATAGTATCAAAAAAATCACAACTGAAGAGTTACAAATCTTAACAAACTTTAAAAAGTAACTATACAATGATCCCTTAAGCACTGGTCTCACCTTTGAGTTCAAGGAAGTGGTAGCACTATTTAATAAAGTTTCTCTGTCACTCAGTTCCACAGGTCGAGACATGTCAGTCAAGATTTCTATACCCTTTTCTAAAGCCTTCTGGAATGACTCAGAAATGATGGTTGGATGAATCCCTGTTGTTAAAAGTTGGTTATTTTAACAGATAAACTTCACTTATTATATTTCTTAAAATGTGTTGTTCATTATAATTTCAGTCTTAATTTTTAAATGATCTAAATTAACTTATGCTTCTGTTAGAACAATCTGAACAACCTTCGCTGCATTATGGCTAATATTTTATTTTAATTAATTTGGAATAATCAATTCTGCACTCATGTGGTATTTAAGATGAAAACAAAATTTTTTACTTTTTCAAAACACAACAAATCTAGGTAAGAAATAAAATAAGTGACTAGAGAGTCTCTACTATGATTAAGCATTATTTACCAGAAGAACCCATACTACCTCTACCAAATCACCCATCTCATCTAGAGCCGAAGATTAGTACCACCACCACAATTTATTTTAGAAAAGCAAAATTCTATTAAGTTCCATTTAAAATGAAGCCTGGTTAAAAAAAAAAAAAAAATCTTACTCCTATAATAAACACAGCAAAATGCAACCTAAAAATTCCTAATAAAATTAGTTATTCCAAATTAAGTATCAAATCTATTACTTAATAGTTTTTTTGCCTTTATTTATAATAAAACATATCATGTCTCCTACCTACCTTTCTGAAGAAGCTTGGTACAAGAATCTAAGAGAGAGCCAGCAATGATGACCACTGATGTGGTGCCATCTCCTGCTTCTATATCTTGTGCCTTAGACAGCTCTACCAGCTAAGTAAACAGAACATGCTAAGTTACTCAATGAGAAATGTGAAGACCCAATAACATCTAACTGAAATATAGAATGACCTTCGTATCAGTGTCAAAAACAATTTGATTATCAACCCTGTATGATTTAATTCTTGATTTCTCAGGTTTATTTCTGAGTTTTATTTTAAAATGATGATTAATATATTTGTGACACACAAAATTCTGCTCATATACTCCCTATAACAATCTATGATATGATTTCAAGTTCAGACTATGGGTTTTAAATCTTTCCTTCCCAAGTACCAGAAGTTCCTCTCAGAAAGTGTATATGTTCTACCATAGGTACCCTGTAGACTTAGAAGCTAAAAAATGGGGGATTCTAGGAGACAAGTGTCAGTTTGGAGTCCTTTGGAAGTTTATTGGAATTCACCCTGTATAAGCATAATCTGATTCATTTAAAAAATCATCTTGACATAATCAAACATAACTTTTCAATAGAAATTTCTTTTTGCAGATATGGTGACTTCTCACTTGACTCTAGGGTCATCATTACACTTAGTTGAATTGGTTGTTTTTTTTTGTTGTTAATTGCTTTAAATAAATCTTACTGTTTATGTTTGACACATGATTTGTTTTTTGCACACAATTAAGATTACATTGCTCTTTTCCAATATCCCTGAACTAATAACTTTTGCCATTTCATGATTTTTCTCCAACTATATATATATATATGTATATATAGCACACAACTATATATATATGCTTATATATATACATATATATATATAGCACATTCCTGTGGACAAGGAAATTCATGTATTACAACCTCGCTCTGAAGAACACAATGTTAGACAATGTATTCTATAAACATTCCTGTTTAACATAGAAAAAAAGAATTTACAATGGTTAAATTATAGAATGTGATCAAATAAAACAAATTTATTCACAAATATTAAACCAATAATACTTAAAAAAGAAAAAACCTTATCTAAAATTGTACTTACCATTCTGGCTGCTGGATGTAACACTTGCATTTGTTTAAGAATGGTGGCACCATCATTTGTAATGGTCACATCGCCTTTTCCATCTTGAATCTGCAAAATTTCGTTTTTTTTTAAAAAAAGCTGTATTTCAAAAATTTTATTTTTTTTACCCAGTGCTATGACACTCTAAAAGTTCTACTAACTTTAAAGCTTCTTAGTAGAGATGTTAATTTATGTTTGCATAGCTTACAGTTGTGCTTCATTTCCAATTCTCTTCCCTTACATTAGTATAGTGACGTAAGAACACACAGCAACAGTCTAATTTTACAACTGAAAATACTTGGCTTTATTTTTTTATTGTTTGAAAGTGAAAGAAACCTAGACATATACAACATAGAGCAGAAATAATACTATGAAGAATTACTAATACTCCTGGGTTCAGATCCATAAGAAATGATACCATGGACCTCCAAAAAAGACTGCACCATGAACGTAGTGAATACAAATCTTACAAACACAGTAATCTGTGTCTTAGTATTTTCAACAAAGGCTATACAGCATTACCAGCAAGGATGGATTTTAAAATATCCAGAGGGAATAATGATCTGTATATCATCCAGACAATCTTTCATATTGTTTATCTCTCCTTTTGGATGTTAATTAGCACTGAATTTGAGGGTGTATTTATCAAGTGACTGGAATGCTCTGGAACGTTTTATGTTGCCAGTCAACCACACTAGAAGAACAAGTCAAATTCTACAGACCAATGTAGGGTCACAGTTATTTCAATAAGGAACAATTAACTCAAGCGCTTAGAGCTATAGCCTTACTCTATTTTCCATGTAACACAACAGGTAACTACTTTTGCGAATGTAATTCGTATAAAAAGCATTAAACAAAATACAAATTCTACTGGAGTCCTGCTCCCCCAAAGCAATCTATTCTTCCAAACTCTCAAAGTACTTTTTAAGCAGCACATCTTAACCCTTATTGAGATTCTGCAGTGTGGACAATAGGATTTTAATACATAATCATAATTCAGCTTTTTACCATTTTATCCATTCCTTTTGGTCCAAGGCTTGTTCTAATAGCATCAGCAACAGCTGTAAACAGAGGGAAAAAAAATCAAGATGCTTAAAGCAAAGTGTTTCTCTTCTCAAATGATCATTTGTCCTTATCAGGATATGATATACAAACATTTACTGTGTCCATTAAAGAAAATTCATTATTTATGAAGAATATACTGGAAACAATGATTTATTCTTTTTTGATTGTAGGACACTTCACCTTTTGTTGTTAAAGTCACTATACATAATACTGGCGCCCTGCCTACGGCAGAATCAATTTTGAGGATTTACCTAAGCCTCCTCTAGTATCAAAATAAGCACAATGACCTCTGAATGAAGGCTGTATTTTTCTCCATTCCTTCCTTAAAAGAACACAAGCAGCAACAGGGGAGGCAAGACTTCCTAATATACTATTATATAATTCCACTTATTTGTCTATTCTGTCTCCCCTAATTATAGATTGAATCTTTGAAGGCAAAATTTTTTGTCCACCAATGTGAAGCTCGTATAAAGATGGCCCACAGTAAAACATCCTTTGCCACCTTCTACCTTGCCACCAAATAAGCTCAAACAAACAAAAACCCCAAACCTTTACCCAAACCAAAATCTAGGTTTTAGTCATCCTCAGTACATTATAAAACACCTCCGGATACACAGTCTACCATTCCAACGTTACATGTTCTTATTAATGCTCCCTAAGAGTGTTTATTAGTCCACTTAAGGGAAATTAGATTTGATGAACACTCAAGTCAAATCCCCTTTTGAGAAGCCCAGGACAAATAATTAGGCCTTCCCCTTCCTGAGATACCACCTCACTCAATATACACAGGGCTGAGATTGTGCCCTAATCATTGTAGACTCCACAACCAGCATCATACTCCCCCTCCCTTTATTGTGTAAATAATAAAGATCTTAAGAAAATGAAAGTATTTGCTATAACTAAAAATTATTTTCCACTTCTTTCATAATTTTGGGCTTCTATTCCTAATTAACCAGGCAATATTATGCTTTCAGGCGATTTTAGTGGACCCACATGGCCCAGGTTCTACAAGCAGACCAACTCACTTTAAGATTGTCCTCACATTCGTCTACCTCAAGTCAGGACAACGCACCCTAACCAAAAAATAAAGAAGGATTTTAGACTGCTTACATCTCCAAAGGTGTCTGATTGTGTATCATTCTGTGTGGCACACAGTAGGGTCTGTTACAGGACCCATGCCGAACAGTACCAGAACTAGTATTTTCTGTGTGTCTATATGGTTTTTACATGATCAACCAATTTGGGGAGATGGGGGGGGGGGGGAAGCACCATTTTGAGGTAACATTTAAATAAAAAAGTGGCTCCCTGAATTAAACCAAAACTACACCTAAACGAAAGCAACTTTTCTTGACCAAGTTGGCTAGGTTTTGTCTGATTTGGAAAAGATTAGTTGTGCCCCTGAGTTCTCTCTGAAAAGGTCATGTTCACAGATAATTCACCCGACCTCCGCTCACCAGGCCCTCCCCATCTCACTTCTCGCATCTTCAGGCGCTTTATTCTCTAACTGTAATGAAACTGGATTATAAGGCTCAATAAGCATCAGGTAAGATCTCTAGGCCTTTGTTCTCATTTTTCCTTCCAGACTCTTCTGTCTCAAATCAACTATACTTAATTCTCACAACTCTTAAAAACAAAAAAAAAAAAACCAAAAAAAAAAAACCAAAAAAAGGGCAGCCCAGGTGGCTCAGCGGTTTAGCACCGCCTTCGGCCCAGGGCGTGACCCCGGGGTCCCGGGATCGAGTCCCACGTCGGGCTCCCTGCGGGGCCTGCTTCTCCCTCTGCCTGTGTCTCTGCCCTTCTCTCTCTCCTCGGTCCCTTATGAAATAAATATAAAAATCTTTTTTTTTTTAAATAAAAATCTTAAAAAAAAAAAAAAGGCGAGAGAACACCTTCCTCAATTTTAGGGGTGAGGAAACGTTAGCCAGAGGTCGAAGGTCACAGAGCCACGAAGCAACGGTCACAGAGAACGGTAGCTCGGGCCTTCATCTCCATCATACTCCGACCTAGTCTGCAGAACAACGAAGCGCCAAGGCGCCGTCCACACTTGCGGGCCGGCGGGGGCCCGGCTGCAGACGCAGACTGGGCGGAAAAGCACAGCTGGCTTCCCCGGAGCTCCAGCCGGCAGCGAGGCCTCCCCCACAGCCCAAGACAAAGGGCGCCGCCCAGCCGAGGCGCCAGCCCCCTTCTCATTAGTTGAGCCGAGAGCTTCTTTACGTGGCATCCTTGTAAGAACACCTGAACCTACAATGCATTTTGCAAAAGACGTTCTCGCAGGGGACCCGACGACAGCGCTGCCGCGGCAGGTGCCCAGGCCCGCCGTCTCCGGCAGCCCGAGGAACCGCCGAGGGCGAAAGGCTGCGGGCGTCAGGGCCCGGGCCCGGACCGGGCGGCGCCGGCGATCCCCAGAGCGCAGCAAAGCTCGCTGCGGACCATCCCGGCCAACAGAAGAGGCGCGTTGGCAACCCAAGTCCGGGGCCGGAGCGCAGAGCTCGGCCCGCACGGCCTCGGGCCAGACGCCGCGAGCGGTACCTTTGGCCGCGGAGATGTTGCTGAAGCGGATCTGCGCCGGCTTGTCGCGGTCCTGGTAGGCGGTTTTGCTGCGGCCGCCGGCGGCTGCGGCGGGCGCCCCGCTCCGCGGAGCCGCGTTCTCGGGCATGGCCAACTCGGCGGGGTCTGCGCGGGCCTGGGAGGGGCGGATGGACCCGGATTCCTGCCGGCCGCCGACGGACGGAACGCGCCCGCCGACTTCACGAAGCTTCCAGAAAGCGGCGCGGGCGCCGGGAGGAGGCGGAGGCGGAGGCGGAGGCGGGGAGGGGGCCTGCCGGGCGGCGTCGCGCCGACGTGACGTATCGGACTGCCCGCCGCGCGCCGGGGGCCGGGGCCGGAGCCGGGGCGGGGGCTTTGTGTCCCGGGAGTGCTGGCCGCGGGCCCGGGGGTGCAGGCGCGATGGGGAAGGGGAGGCGGGGGGCCCCTGCGAGGCAGGCTGGACACCCCGCGATTTTACAGGCGGGCGTTGGGCACCCACCTCGCGCGCTGCCCTGGCCTCCGCGGGCCGCGAGGTCCTTCCGTTAACGCGACGCGCCCGAGCCACGCACGGGGAGCCCGAGCCTTCGGTCCAGTTACGATCATTTACTTGTTCTGTGCCAGGGTCATGGCTAAAACCTTGGGACTCTGTATCTCCTGTAACCTTCACGATAAGTCCATGAAGTGGGCGCCCCCCCCCCCCGATCTGATAACGAAACACCAAGCCCCGGGTCAGCCTGTAAGTAGATTGAAACCGTATGTTCCATGGAGAGCAACGACTTCCCAGGTCATGAGTTAAAGCGCCGGGCTCCCGTTAACACTGTTTTATTAGGGAAGTTCACAGAGCAGGGATGCCTGGGATATATGGTCAAGGACGGTGGTTGCAAAGCCCTTAACCCTGTGAGCGCTGGGGGCTTTTACACACCTCGAGGAGGTGAGCCCTAGAAGGTGAACCTTCCCAAGTGCTCTCTGGTCCACATGCCTTTGATGCTGGCTGTTTTTATTTTTTATGTTTTTGTTTTTACCTGGGTGGCTCAGTGCTTGAGCGTCCGCCTTTGGCTCAGGTCCTGATGCTTCGGTCCTGGGATCCAGTCCTGCATTGGGCTCCCCGTGGGGAGCCTGCTTCTCCCTCTGCCTGTGTCTCTGCCTCTCTGTGTCTCTCGTGAATAAAGAAATTCAATAAAATAAATAATAAAAAAAAGCTTTATTTATTTTAGAGAGAGCCTGTCTGTGAGAGCGAGCAGAGGGAAGGTCAGAGGGAGAGGGAGAGAATCTCTAGCAGAGGCCCTGCTGAGTGCAGAGCCCGCAGGAGGCTCCATCTTATGACCTGAGATCATGACCCAAGTGGAAACCAAGCTGATTTCGCTTTTAGAAAGAATCAGACTTCTATGATGTAGCTCATAAGTACCCTATAATTACTTGTTAAGACAACTGATGTGCAACAATGAATATAGCATTTATCTGGGGTGCAAAATCCTGGCTTGAATTCTATTTTGCTACTTGTTAACTATGTGATTTTGGGCAAGTCATTTAAGTTCTCTGGGTCTCCCTTTTTCCTCACCTATATAATAGTAAGATTAAATTTCATGATCTCTAAGGCTAGACTCTCCTAATTTTTTTTTTAAAGATTTATTTAGGGGCAGTCCCGGTGGCGCAGCGGTCTAGCGCCGCCTTTGGCCCAGGGCGTGACCCTGGAGACCCGGGATCGAGTCCTGCGTTGGGCTCCCTGCGTGGAGCCTGCTTCTCCCTCTGCCTGTGTCTCTGCCTCTCTGTCTCTTTCTCTGTCTCCAATGAATAAATGAATACATTTATAAAAAAAATAAATAAAGATTTATTTATTCATGAGAGACACAGAGAGGGAGAGAGAGAGAGAGGCAGAGACACAGGCAGAAGGAGAAGCAGGCTCCCTGCAGGGAGCCGGATGTGGGACTCAATCCCGGGACCGCGGGATCATGCCCTGAGCCAAAGGCAGATGCTCAACTGCTGAGACACCCAGGTGTCCCCTGACTCTCCTAATTTTTAAGGAGTAGATCTATGAGCCATAAAGGACAAAGCAGAATTTGGAAGATGCCATTACTGGGTTTTTGGGATAGTTCCCATGGGTAAGACAATTGCTTTAATTATCTTAAAGGTTTCAAGTTATATATTGTATTGTTCTGCAACAGATCAGAATTACTTTTTAACCGCCCTGGACTTACCCAATAAATAAGTGCTGAAAATTTGTTTGCTTAACAGTGTTGATATACAGTAATTGCAGATGCTCAACTGCATTACATTACATTATCAGCCAAAGGCAGATGCTCAACTGCATTACATTATTAAAATGTGCAGACTTTTGTATGCTATGCAAAGCACTGTTGTTAGTGAAGGATGGAGATATTGAAAAAAATCCTGTCAGAACCAAGGAGACACAAAGCGTATATGAGAATGTTGGCAATAGCAATAGCCTTATAGAATTTCTTTAATGATTTGTAAAGTAGATTTTATAAAACTAGTATTTGGCCATCTGTCCAGGTAAGTGTTATCTTCCCTAGAATGGATGCTGAACCACTTGCTAAACCCCTATAACTGAGCTAGGTCTGGTTGGGATTGGAAAAGGAGAGAGGGATGTATTATTTTCTCACTTAAGTTTTCACACCAAAGACAATAGTTTTTATTGTTAATGTATAATCTATTCCTTTGCATTAGTTGATGACATTGAGAACAGGCAGATGCTTAACTGACTGAACCACCCAGGTACCTCAGTAAACCAGATTTTCTATCTAAAAATAGGAATGAACTAATACAAATTATTGCAAATTTGTAGGCAAGATAAATGATTGTTCTCTTGGGGGTCAAGATGTGGAGCACAACATGGAAAGAGAGGCAAGCAGATATTAGATACTTCCCAATGGAAGAAAAAAAGAATTGAACCTGAATCTAATCAAGTTCCTAGATCTAATTTCTAATTTACAGGTTTACAGGACCTACAAGGATAGAATATGTTTTTTTTAAAATGGTACCCCACGAGGATACAATCAATAAAATATAGAATGTGAGAAACTCTTTAGGATAAATGACCTGCAACTAAATTGCAAGAAAAGCAAAGCAAAAACAAGATGGAAGGGGAACCTATAGATTAAAAGAGACTTCAGATTAACAAAAAGGAATGAAGGTGTGTGGCTGGCTTAATAGGGGGAGTGACTATTGATCTCAGGGTTGTGAGTTTGAGCCCCATATTAGGTGTAGAGATTACTTAATAAGTAAATAAACTTAAAAAATTAAAAGAATGATGCAAGCAATATAGCTTAGTAAAATGGGGCTTAATGGTGGTCTCAATAACAACTCTGCAAGGGAGAAGAAAACTAATTGTCTCTTGCTAGTTAATCAACTACTTAAATATTCAGACAGTTATAAAATATGAAGTTTGGGGCACCTGGGTGGCTCTGGCTGAGCATCTGCCTTTGGCTCAGGTCATGATCCCGGGGTCCTGGAATCAAGTCCTGCATTGGGCTCCCCGTGGGGAGCCTGCTTCTCCGTCTGCCTATGTCTCTGCCTCTCTCTGTGTGTCTTTCATGAATAAATAAAAAATTTTAAAAAATGAAGTTTGAGGGAACTCCCTTGGGTTGTCCCCTCTGTCTTTGGGAGCTTTGTACTGTATCACTCCATAAACCTTGCTTTGCTGCCTCTTCCCACAAAAATGAAGTTTGTGAGACAGAAGTTTGAGTATGGATTTATATTTAATAATTATTAAGAAAGCTATATGTTATGTGGAATAGTTATTTTTTTTAAGTGTCTATCTTTTAGAGAAACATAATGAAGTATTTACCAATAAAGAGTTCTATCAGGGATTTTTCAAAACAGTAAGGGGGAAGTGACTGGGAATAGAGTTGGAACAAGATAGACAATGTTTCAGTACTTGTTGAAGCTGGTGATGGGAGCATAGAAGCTCATTACACTATTCTTTTTACTTTGTGGTTGAAATTTTCCCTAAGAAAAAGTTGAAAAAAAAAAAAAAAGCTTTGATACACAGAAAACAAGACTAGACTTCTCCAGATATTTTCCATCGTTTCAAAGTCCACCCCATTTCCTAAATCTTTGAGTCTGAGTTTGAGTTAATATTTTAAAATGCAGAATGAGAGTTTTTTTTAAAACATATTTTTATTTATTTGACAGAAAGAGAGAAAGTATAAGCAGGGTGAGTGGCAGGCAGAGGGAGAGGGAGCAGCAGGCTCCCTGCCGAGCAGAGAATGCTAAATGAGGCTGGATCCCAGGACCACCTGAGCTGAAGGTAGCTGCTTAACCAACCAAACCACCCAGGCGCCCTCAGAATGAGAGTTTTATCCTGTGGCAGTTTATTCCAGCTGCTTGCTGTGAGAGTTATTTTGATTCACACAGCTCATTGAAGGATTCAAGGACACATAAGATAGGTGGAGGGTTAGCACACAAATAAACTGACCTGGGGATCCCTGGGTGGCTCGGCGGTTTAGTGCCTGCCTTTGGCCCAGGGCTTGATCCTGGGGTCCCAAGATCAAGGCCCACGAGGGGCTCCCTGCGTCGATCCTGCTTCTCCCTCAGCCTGTGTCTCTGCCCCTTTCTCTCTCTGTGTGTCTCATGAATAAATAAATAAAATCTTTAAAAAAAAAAAAGTAAATTGACTTCCTATATGTCACCTCAACCAGAAATTGGGAATCATCCCTTTCATTTTTTTTTCCTTTCTTCCCTCATCCAAAGCCTGCAGATCTCCTTGTTTTTAACAAGAACCTGTCTTAGGAATGCCTGGGTGGCTCAGTGGTTGAGTTTCTGCCTTTGGCTAAGGTCATGATATCAGGGTCCTGGGGTCGAGTCCTGCATAGGGCTACCTGTGGGGAGCCTGCTTCTCCCTCTGCCTGTGTCTCTGCCTTGCTCTCTGTGTCTCTCATGAATAAATAAAATCTTTTTTTAATAAAAAAGGATACAAAAAAAAAAAAGAATAAGAACCTGTCTTATATTCTCCATCCTAAGTGCCATTGCGTTAGGTCAGACCCACGTCATCATCTGTTTGCTTACAGTGATTGACTAGCCTTGGCCTTCCCTTCAGCTTATTTGCCACGCCGCCGCCTAGAGGAATCTTTTAAAAATGCAAATCTGATGGGGTGCCTGGGTGGCTCAGTCAGTTAAGGTTCTGACTCTTGGTCAGCTCAAGTCATGATCTCAGGGTCATGTCTTATATCCTTCCCTCTGCCCCCCGCCCCACTTGTGTGTACCTGTGTGCGAGTGCTCTTTTTCTCTCTCAAATTAATCTTTTTAAAGACCCGAAAATCTGA